CACGTTTTTCAGTTGAGAACAAGTTATTTGTGCTTCTTGTTGGTTGGTTCAAGTACCTTCTGGTGTGAGGGAATGTGTGCTTTTTCTGTTCAAAGTCAGCTTTTACATGAAAATCCTTCTATCAGATGGGCATCTCTGAGAAATCGTGGCCTCCAAAAGAAGGACTGTTGGCTAGACCTGTTTCTCAGCCCATCAGGGTTAAGCACAGCCATTTCGCTGCCTTTTTGCATCTCTGCTCTGATCTGAAAGGCTCAAAGCAGCTTCTACTAAGAAGCCATGAAACCAAACTAAGGCAGGACTGTGTCACTGTGTCCCTGTGGGAGCAGAAGATGTTGGAGTAGGTCTAGTGGTGGTCTTCCGTCCATCAGTGGTTTGAAAATCCCAGCTGAAGGGAGGTGAACAAGCTCTGAGCAGTTGGTGCTTGCAGATGATTGTCCACACTTGACTGCAGGCACCCTAATTCTGCTCTCTGTGACCCGAGCTAAAAGCCAGGGTCTGCTGTCGGTGAAATTTCACTGATGTGAACCATCTGCAATGATGACCTAAAATCCAGGAGTCCTCAGTTCCAGCAGTCCTCAGTTCTACTGCTGGCTCTGCTGCAGTTTTTTAGCATAACCTTGGGCAGGTCTCAAGTCTTACGAGTCTCGGTTTCCTATCTGCAAAGCAGATGATTCGGTTTCTTTTCCTCAGAGTGGCATAGTTTTATAAAGTATAAATATTTGTGAAGTTAAGTGTTTTGACTGTGTGAGCATTTCAGAGAAGAAACCATAAATATGTGTCAGGCCTACGATCTGAATTCAAACCGGTGAACTAGAAAAAGCATTGACAGCCTTAAACCAACTGCCCTGTACACACATCTCCTTCTGTCTACCTGAAAGATTATTTGTGGAATGTGTTTCTATTTTTCTCTGACAAAAAATAGAATACCAAGCAAAGAAGCATGACCCATTTCTTTGTCAGGCAAGCTCTAAACCCTGCTTACTGGGATGTGACTGAGGTATTGATAAAAGAGAAGCTCATTTTAGGCCACAATATTCATCCTGCCAGTGAAGAAGAAACGAAGACTGCCACCTTCAGATGAAGCGGATGCGCTTTTCAAGCCAAGGTACGTTTATCTCCTCCACAACTTCTCTATGATCTGTAATTATATTTGGACCATACAGTGAAACAGAAAAGTGGCAAATAAGGAGAGTTAGGAACGTAACTAATCATTTTATAATAGGAAAATATACAAGCAATACACCACTGAAAGTATCTGCAAACTCTATTAATGGTCGATCAATAGGTCTGATAAGAGCATCACTCATCATAAACTGTATCACCTTCCGTAATTTTTCATGGTCCTTTCTCTGTGTAATGCCAGGTTTGGGTGCACATCATGCTGTTCATAACTGTTGGCCGCTGAGTGGACTTCCTCCATGGGTCTTTTTTCTTCAAACTGTTCATAACTCAACTGTCGCTGAGTGGACTTCCTCCATGGGTCTTTTTTCTTCAAATATAGCATGTAGCATATTCAAAGCAATATCAAGTCATACCACACTGAGCTCTTTATTACTAGAGATTTTTGGACAGAAGCACATAATCTAGATTTTCTGAATCAATAGGCAGATGGTAGCTACTTTTTTTTTTTTTTCAGTATTTTTTCCAACTTGTACATTTTAGATTTACATAACTTGGTTTCACACATCTGAAGAAGAAACACTGACATAAATCTAAGTTTATCTTTGATGCATTTACAAATATTTTTCTTTTTTCCCTGACATGCCTCTGTCTAGACTTCTGCCAGAAAGCAGAAACTTTAGCTTTCTCTTCTGTTGATGTAAATACCTTTTAACATTGTGCAGAGAATGGCATGACTCTCACTTTCTTGTGAGGATGTGGGACTCATTCACCCCACCACTGAAACGCATTGGGTTTCCATCGGCCAAGGTAAGCAGCTCTGACATCTTCCCACTACACACTGTGTTACTGTGCATATCACTGAAACACATGATCATTGTGACGCCAGGCTGGTTGGATTTTTTTATTATTGTTTTCAATTTGGTTCACTGAAACAATGAAGGTTAGCTGCATCCGGCTCTTAATTTGACTTCAAATTTTTTTTATTAGTCATTATTTTTGCAAAGGCCTTAATTCCCCTCTAAAACATTTTAATTAAAACAGCAATTTCTCAGTGCCACACTTCGTGAGCAGATTTTGCAGCAACTTCAAAGAGGCGCAGATGTTTACTGAATTTGGTGTGGTGATATTTGAGGCTGCCTACTGGCAAAGAAAAATTCATAAACATCTCTAAAAAACTTTGCTGTGGAAATGACAACATTTCCTTCTTATATTTTAGCAAGTCTAATATTTCCCAATCTATCTCAACAGGCATATTTCATAGACACAGGCATAAGCATTGTTATCTACTCACAGTCTGAGCCACGTCAGATACAGTGCTATGGGGTAAATATCTCTCAATGGTGATACCTCGGGCTTTGGCAAAGGGTACAAGAGGCCATGGGTTAGTTTGCTGTGTGTGGGTCATCTTACAGAGTATCAGTACACTGGGAATAAGGAAACCGAAGTTCCATTTCTGCTCGATTTTCCATAACCCTCCAATGTGATTTTGAGTGGCCATTTAGCTTTGTGTGCCTCGGTTCCTACTGGTAAAGGGACGATAACATATCCTGGCTTTTAATCAACTTGTCTCCTGGTGGCAGGGTCTATCTCCTAGTGCACCAAGGGCTTCCTAGCTCTAGAGAGTCCTGGGGTTTTTAATGTGCTGTTCTAGTAAAATTAAGAAATGCTAAGGATTTATTTTGAAGGAGTTTCTCCTTACTTGTGGCAGGTGAGCCTGGAGCTGGTCTGATGATCTCATTTTGGGACCCCCCCTATCTGTGGGTAACCAGGCAGGCAGTGGTCCTCTCCGAATTGAGATGATGGGACCAGGCACACATGGCCGTGGCAGACCATATCTAAAACATAGACCAGGGTCCAGGTATCTTCTGTGGTTTAGGCAGGTGGCTGTGGCCAGAAAATACATGGCCTGTCCAGCTGGGCCACCAGTGAGGCTCGTCTCCATGTGCTAGGACCTACAACTGGCAGTGAGGCTCATGCTCCTATTTATTCTTTCTGTGCACAAAAAAACCCCCAAGTTTCTTCCCTGGACATTTTTCACTCTTATGTCTTCCTGAAGGGGAAATAATAGAAGTACTTGGAAACAGCATATCCATTTCCACTGTGAGCAACAGGCAAGGACCAGCACGGAAACCGGCATGGAATATGGCGTGACACGTCATGTAGCTGCTTTAATATACAGTGTAATTACAGTGACAAATTTCTACCTCTTGAAGCATCAGGGGTTGAAGTGGTTGCCCTGAAGGAGAAAGAAAGTCAGTGGGAGAATTTTGACCAACTCTAGGCCGGGAAGTGCAGCACTTCGTCTGCGTTGGATTACAAGTGATCAGCATGGCCAAAAGGGTCCTGTGAGAGACAGGTAAACAGGCTGAAAGGAAATTTGAAATATTAAAGAAGTGAAGCTGGGCTGGATAGAACAAGTTTTACAATTCTCTATTCCTCTTTGATTTGGTAGCATTAGGCGTACTGAAGGGTAGATTGCGCAGACTTACGCGTGACAGCAAGATACTTTTCCACACGAATAAACCCCCTGAAATTAATTGGACTGCTCACAAAAGTGCCTGGGAATGTGAACTAGGCTTGCACATTTCAGCCCTCAGATTTGATCTTTCTTCAGCAACGCAAGGGCCAGGCTGCATGGTGAAGAGCAACAGCTTAGCTAGAAATGTGAATTCAAACCGCTCGCGGTGAGTAGATCAATGTCTCTGTGGACACATCCTTGCTGAAGATCATCTCATCTCAGCTGAATTCACCTTAGTAAAAAACAGATTAAAATTAAACTGAAAGAAACTATTCCTGAAATGAAAGCCAGGCTCAGGCGTGGTTTGCTTACCACAAACTGTTGTGTGTTTGCTGTCCCATGGAATTGCCCACATGTATGCTTTTAGCTGGTGGCAAATGCTCTCAGTGAGAATTAGCCTGGCCTGCAACGAGGGAAGCTTAAATTTAGGTTGTTCTCCCGTGTGTGCTGTGGGATAAGAGCATGCAGCCAGGCAGTCCTTTGCGTGCGGGTGTGCCTGAGCATTCGAGGTGACCACAGAGGCATTTGCTTAAGCTGAAACGCTTGTTCACCTATTGCAAATGGGCTCTTAAAAAAACAAACCAAGCCCTCTCGCATGTTGGTCTGGAAAGAAATAGCTTTGTCGCTGTTTCAAAGAATTAGTGAGCCAACAACGCAAAGCTTTGGAGTTTGTTACGGGGTTTTTACTGTAGTCTCTACGAGCTATACAAAGTCTGAAGACATTGTATGTACAGTACATCTTTAATAAGAAGGGAGCTCACAGTCTACCAAACTCTGCCAAATAAACTTTTAATACATACTGTACTTCACTCAGTAGTTGTCCATCTCTTCTTCATGGAATACCTAACAGCTCTAAAAATATTTTCTTGGAAGAGGATAGAATTATCATTGTTATATATCAATCAAGTATGGTTAATGAAGCAAAGCCAGCATGCTAGTATTGCACAAGGAGAAAAGCCTCCAGAACACAAAGTGGAACAACAAATGCCCTCGAAATTCTGCCGAAGGGAACAGGAAGCTCTGGATGCCGCATCGGTAGGATTCGTGTAGCTCTTAGGCGTCCTTGTACCGCAGCAGGTTTGCTTTGCCTCTTCACTGCCACATTTCTTTCTGAAACAGGTAGGGATCTTCCAGACCATTACAAAAAAGAAAAAAAAATCTACAGCAGCTGCAGCAAAGTGTGGTACTATTCAATTTCTTGAAGAGTGAGGCTTTTATTTCAAAATATCAAAAAAATCTACAGCTGCAGCAAAGTGTGGTACTATTCAATTTCTTGAAGAGTGAGGCTTTTATTTCAAAAAAATCTAGCAGCTGCAGCAAAGTGTGGTACTATTCAATTTCTTGAAGAGTGAGGCTTTTATTTCAAAATATCATATATTAATATATATATATTTTTATATATATATATACTTTAACTGGTATAAAGTAAATTGTAGATCCAAACTGACACTGTTGTTTGTACTTCGCGATCTCAGAAACTTTACCAAAGGAACCATTTTCTTCATTTTTATTTTCAGCTGTCAAAAATCAGGACCATTATTTCCACTGAATACTTTCTTCCACTCAATAAAGCCACTGTTGTTATCTGGTAAACAGTCAAAGTGCAAATAAGAAATCCATTTGGCTTGTAAATGCTGAGATGGTTTTAAACTTTCAATACTTTGTCCTCATAAATCAGCAGGGCTTTCACTGTCTCCATGCAGACGGTGCTCTGTTAGGTCCTCGGGTGGATCTGCAGTAAGAAAGTGCGAAAGAGTCACTTATGTAAAATATATTATGAGTGGAAAGAAAGACCCAGGCTTCATGGCACTTTGCCCTGCTCCTGATATAGCTGAGTTTAAATCGCAATATTTTGGGGGCAGTCTTTTCTCTTGGGGCTGCAGGGATTTGAGGATGTGCAAGAGGCAGACCCTGAGGGAGCTCCCGCCTGTGCCTTGGGAGATCCTGGATGTGCATCGATCACCCTGGCTGGTGGTGCAGGAGATGCCAGGACAGTTTGGTCATGGGGCCATGCTCACCCCAGCCTTCCACCCTCCCCTTCTCAGAGTGATGCAAGTAGCTTCTGCCAGGCAAGGACATGCAGATGGATGCATCTTTCAGGTTCATTTGGACCCCCACCAACCCACTTACCCAAAGAGGGGCAGATAGGAGTGACTAGCTATATAATAGACTGGAGAGTCTGACCGACTTAATCTACTCACCTCGGGTGAGATAGCACGGCCTGCAACAGCCCATAAAACCATCGCTGTTTATGACTAACACCACAATTGATCTGAGTGAGCGCACTAATGGCTTGAAGAGGAAACACCGCCGCCCAGAGGGTTTTTTTTAGGATGCTGAAATAAGAATGACCGACCAGAAGCAAAAATAGCTCTCTCGAGGAGAGGCTTTTGTTTCTTTCCCACACTGATACACACAGATGAATGGCACAAGGGGTCCAACCCTTTGGTAGACAACTGGGTCAGCAATGAAACTCAAATTGACTTGAATACGAGCAGGCTCGGGCATTAAATCAGGGCTACAAATTATTAGCTAAGCACTAGGTGATATGATGAAATGCAGCAGTAAGTCTTATAGCGAGAGATATTTACTATCTCTTGTGCTCTACTGCTTCGAACTGACCTCTTAATTACAGAGACTATTATCACAAAAATAGAGGGGTTTCTTCACTGCTCTAAAGCAAAACTTAATCTGGAAATCATCTGACATATTAACCTAGTTGGACAGCTTAAAAAAAGAAAATAAAACTCTGGGTTCATTTACCATTTCCTTCCTTCTCCCAGTTCCCATTTTCTGTTCTCCTGGTTTGCCACTAACAAGTGGCCCCGCTGGGTTTTCTCTCTTGGGCATGAGTACCTCCCTTTCTTGTTTGTACACTGCCGCAAGGATTTGTGGTTGGTGCAGGAGCAGGGAATGACGAGGGACCACAGTGCCAAGGGGCTGTGGGCACCTCAGGTGCTATTTGCTGCAGCATGAGATGAGCAGTGGCTGCTAAGAAATGTGATGCTCAGGTCCCTTGGGGCACCGTAAAATGGCCTGCATTTCTTTGATGGCAAAATATACGGTAAACCAAGTGTTACTCTGGAAACTGGGGGGTGGGTGGGCTGTAATGGAGGGCGCAGGCTGTGAAGCTGGAGAGAGAGCTGCTCTGCCAGTCCCCAAGTGCTCAACGCTTTAATTTCCATCCTCCACAGTATCAGCAGAAAAACAGCTTGTTGAAGTATTTAGAGGGCTAGTACATGAATGCCAGGTGTTATTAGCGTGGATTACATAAAAAGGGCATTTTGCAGTGCAGTGTGCACATAAGTCTGGGCAGAAACCCCTGAGGAAGAGCACTGTGCTCCTCAAGGGCCCTGCAAAGCGGCACACAGAAAGTTGTGTGTAGACACCAGTCCAATGTCAAGAGCTTGTGAGTGACTCCCTTGCTCAGATGGGAAGTGACAAAACATGGGATGCATGAAGAGCCATGTTTTCATGTTTTTCAAGCAGCTCTGGTTCTTCCAGGCATTTATGTGCCCTTGTGGGCACCATCTCCCAGCATCCAGACTGAGACGGCGCTCTTGAATTCCCCCTGGTGCCGGTTGCTCTGCTGAAATGTAGCAAATGTGATCTCCAGCCAGATCCTAGTACAGCTCCAAGAGCCCCACATTTTTAAGGAAAGCATTGAAATGTATATTCTTGAAAAAAAAGGAGTGAATAGGGATAAAAAAAAGTGTTGAAACTGCTCCAAAAATTGAATTACAAAATGATTTCTTTCCAGTGTTTGTCACCTGCTCTGACCATCAATAGAAAACAAATTGATTTACAAAGGCTGTGAGCTTTATATCTTTGGCTTTAACAACTTAATTAGTGAGCTATGCTAAAGGACTAAACACAGGAATAAATGCATGCAAAGGAAGGAATGGAGGATGTGCTGGCAAAGCCTTCGCTGGATCTGTTGTCCACCTTCTTCTGACACTAATCAGTATTAATCACATCTGAGAACCAACCATGAAGTAATACACTACACTGTAAAATTACATATATTGTGTATATACAGGTATTCATATATATATATACACATACACACATGCTTATATGTGATTTACTGTGGGCCTTGAAGAATATACTAATAGGTATTTTAATCCTGCGAGTCATAAATGCGAATGTTTTCCTTGTCAGGACAGCAGCTGCCTAACGTAAATGTATTTAGTGTAAGGAAAAGCCTTCATTAAAACAGTTTACAGTTTACAGCCTATGGTGACTTGCACTAGCTTTTTGGCTAATCACCACAGATATATCTAGGATGTTGAGTGATTTGTCTTGTTTCTTCTGCTTTCTTAACTTCCTTAACTACATAAATTAGACACACATGGCCCAATCTTGCAGCCTGGATTGGGGTCAGTACAGATTATAGTGTAATCTCTTTCTCTGATGCCATCTGAAATGACAAAACAAAGAAAAAATGCCTGTTTCAGGATCTGATCACTTCTATTATTTCATATTTATGTTGCTAGACTTGACGCAGCAGTACGGATTCAAGCAAAGTTTCAGGGATTATGAAGTAGAATTTTTGCTTAGAAAATGCAAGAGACAGTTGCTAAGCACATCATGTCATGTTGCCTTTGTCAATTGGATTCTGTAATGATATTTTAAAGCAACAAAGCAAAATTCTACTGGAAGCAGCACCATAAGGTACTCCCCTCACAAGCTAATTAAAATAACTCCTGTGGGTAAATGAAGAAATATTTTTTCAGTTATGAGCGCTCACTCTGTAAGTATTTAATTTAAATGAAATACAATAATGCATACTGAATAGATTGGACCATACATCTGCATATTAATGAAGCTGCTAAATTTCTAGCAATCACTTCTAGATGCAGGCTATCGCCTAAAACTAGTTTATATGATGAGGGTTGGGGGAGTTAAGAGCAGGACAATTTCACAAAAAAAAGCAAATGCAATTCCTAAATTATATAATTTACAGACAGACTGCAGAAGTACTGAATTATTGTAATTTAACAAAAGTATAACATACTTCTTCATGTTGCTTATTACTTCTTTAATATCTTTAATATCACTTTCTTCCATTTTAATTCCTCATTCAGTGAGAAAAATGTTGCCTCTCTGAAAAGGACATTGTGCTGGTTTTGGCTGGGATAGAGTTAATTTTCTTCACAGTAGCTAGTATGGGGCGATGTTTTGGATTTGTGACCAAAACAGTGCTGCTAACACAGGGATGTTTTTGTTATTGCTGAGCAGGGCTGACACAGAGTCAAGGCCTTTTCTGCT